GGGGGCTGCAGCTCATTGCAGGTGTCTCCCGGGTGCGAGTACTCGCCCAAATGCTTCCGATGCCTAGCCCGATACTTCCCTCCACTTGTGATGAAGGAGCATGGAGCTGGCTTCCCGGCCAATCAGGAAGCCAGGCAGCATGTAATGACTCGCTGCCCGGCTACCTGATTGGTCAAGAAGCTGGCCAATCAGGAAGCCGGGCGCTGTGTAATGAAGCGGCGCCTGGCTTTCTGATTGGCCGTGAAGCCGGCTTCATGCTCCCTCATCACCTCATGACGAGGGAGCATGGAGCCGGCTTCCCGGGCCAATCAGCCAGAAAGCCGTCTCCATGCTTTCTCGTCACCTAGTGACTGCTAATCAGGAAGGCAGGTGGTGAGTCTTTACACACCGCCTGGCTTCCTTAATGGGTCTTCCGGTATCGGTATTCAGTATCGGCGAGTACTGGAAATAAATATCGGTACTTTTTTCCATAAATGGCTCAGTCATAACGTTTCAGGTTAGTCACAGGTACACTTTAACCCCCACAATAAACACTACTTTGAATACCAGTCGTGTTCTTTTTGAAGCGGAGGTGTAAGCATTGTAGAGGATTATGTCGTCGGCACAGTTGCATGTTACATTGCAGAACATAAGTATCCTCGTACACGCCACACTCTTCCCACAGTGATGAACATAAACCCTGGTGACCCGCTGCACTCCCCTTTCCTCTGTGGTGTACCTCGGAGTGACCTCTCCACGGATCACTGCAATCGCACTTGCTCATGCCACAAGATGTCAGATGTTATCTGGGGATTTTGGAATTTCGCACCTGCTCTCTGACTCATTGTAGTCATCTACACAGAGAACAAAGAGAATTCAGGCACTACAGTATTTGCTGTTCTTGAGCTTTCCAGATCAGTGGCATTCTTTTGCGTGCTTTGTGGCTGGTGACTACCCGGGGAACCTCGAAACGCCACGAACTTCAGCCACCTTTGCAGCAAACCCTAATGGTTCCTGCCGGCCATGAATGGTCAATTGATTGGAGCTGTGAAGGATTAGATGGCCGTTGTCATCTTTAAGATGTTTGGCTTAGCAGTACTTATGTAATGAGTACCTGTCGGAGGGGAGTAACAAAGTCTCTTTGCTTGAAGGAAACTAGTGGCCATTGAGGGCCAGATCCTGGCCAATCAGGCAGGTTGCAAAACCGATCTCTATAATTTTTTTTGGGTTAACTTCTTAACAAACACTGATATTTGTCCAAGCTTAAAGGAGAACTATGGTGTCAGGGCTTTTCCCCATAGTTCTCCTTAGGGTACCGGGAGGGCACAAACTAGCGTCCTCCCGTCACCCAAAGCTCAGTATACCGCGAGCTATGGCTCGCGGTATACTGACACGCTGCAGCTGAAGTGGATCCAGACAATTACGTCTGGATCTGCCCAGCTGCGTGACAGCTGGCTCTGCCTATCTAGAGGCAGAGCTAGCTGTACCCGCCACCTCCCCCGTCCGTTCCGCCAGTCAGCGCTGGAGGATCGGAGCGGGGAGGGGGGAATCCAGTCCCTCCCCTGTCACGGCAGAGAGCTGTGACAGGATCGAGAAGTGAGCGAATGCCGGTATGTGTTCGCTCACCTCCCGATCTACTGAGCCGACCTGTGACAGTCTCATTGTCACAGGTCGGCAAGAACTATGAGGTGAGTGAAGATCACCCCCCTCATAGTTCTCCTTTAATATACGGGAAGCTCCTGCGCAGAGGCAAAGTTTCACACTGAATTGCTGCACAGATCTGGAGGAAACACACAAAGCTCACTGAGATTCAAGGACAATATTTGCTGAGGGCAGATTGTGTTAGATCAATCTGATTGAATCTTTTTACATCACCACAGATGTCTTGGGCCAGGGTGGTGCTGTGGACATAGCCTATCTTGTGTTTAGTTAAGCATTTAAAAGGGTTCCACATCACAATCTCGTAAAAAGAAAAAGACTGTACAAGCTGGGACTTAACCCTTTGGTGGTTCAGTGATTACTCAGTTGTTTAAAGGATAGATATCAGAGCGTGGTTGTAAATGAGGATCATTCAGACCAGAGACCATTCAGAAGTGGTGTACCACAAGGCTCTGAACTTGGTCCTGTTCTGTTTTAATACGTTTAACTGCAGGTGCGGAGGGCAATGTATATCTTTTTTGCTGGTGACGCCCAGGTGTGTAGGTTTGATATTCTTGGAGGTGTTTTGTAACTGAATATGATTCAGCAGTGCTGGAAGATTGGTCAAATCGTTAAAACTGCAGTTTAACTTTTCTAAGTGTAATCTAATGCTCTTGGGGAAAAGAACCCTCTAATAGTGTACGATATTGGGAGTACAGTGTTGGCCGGAACAACAGAGTAAAATGTAAAGTGTGGCCTGGCAGTGGGGAAAGTGAATTGAATTCTGGGGTGAATCACTAGAGGGATCTCTGGCAGGAGGAAGGAGGTCCTGATTCCTCTATATAGATTTTTATTATCACTAGAGGGATCCCCAGCAGGAGCAAGGAGCTCCTGATTCTCCTATGTAGATCTTTATTATCACTAGACGGGTCTCCATCAGGAGGAAGGCGGTCCTGATTCCTCTATATAGATCTTTATTATCACTAGAGGGGTCTCCAGCAGGAGCAAGGAGGTCCTGATTCCTCTATATAGATCTTTATTATCACTAGAGGGATCCCCAGCAGGAGGAAGGAGGTCCTGATTCCTCTATATAGATCTTTAGTTAGACCTCATTTAGAATACTGTGTCCAGCTCTGAAGACCTCACTCACAAAAATATATTGATGAGATAGATCATGTCCAGAGATGGGCAATAAAAATGGTGAAAGTTCTGAGGAATAAAACATATCAGGAAAAACTGCAGGAACTTAATATTTTAGCTGTTTAAATTATATGCAAATCTCAACTTTTCCCCCCCCTAAAAGCTTGTTCCCACTCTGGCATGATCCTGTCTTTCAGTCATTCATTCAGTGTCCCCCAAGTTCCCCCCCAAGAAGAAAAAAATACAGACTTACAGAATTGACATGCATGTTGTCGGTATAGTACGTGTCCCCAAGGTTATAAGTGATGGAGTTCTGAGTAGTTGTTTGTGGTCTGGAGCTCTGAGATGTGACCGCATTCATGTTTCTGGTGGTCAGTTGTGATGGTCCTTTAGATGTTAGAACCTTGATGGGCTCACTGGGACCCTTGGTTGATGCCCACGGTCGCTCCGTAGTCAGCGCTTTAGATTTCGTAGTTAGATTCACAGCATTAGCAACTATATTAGGAAGCGTTTGAGTTTTTGAGGACGCCACGGTGGTGGTACCGGGTCTTGAGGATGACTTAAAAAGTTCTTCAGTTGTCTCCATCTCATTATTGGCGTCCTCTTCATTGCTTTGGTCTTCCAACTCTTCAATACTGTGAAAAATAAGAGACCAGAGTGGATTTACTGGTTAATTTAGAGGTTCACTTCTATGTGAATTTATCAATTTAATATAAAGAAAAAAACTCTCTATCCCTCTAAAGCTGGCCATACACCTTTACAATTATCTGCAGATTTTCTGTGGTCAGATGGAAAAGGTGCAACAGATTCCTCCATCTACACTTAACTGTGTGGATGGAGTAATCTCCACCTGGGCCAATCTGTAGCACTTTTTCCATCTGACCACAGGAAATCTGCAGATAAATTGTAAGGTGTATGGGCACCTTGAGAGTTCGGCAGTGAGACTTCACCACAGCAGTTTGTATCTCTGTCCCCTGCCATGAGGTCAGAACAAAGGCGTCACTCTCACACAAGCCAAATTGTTGTACTACATAATGGAATATCCATCAGACACCCTACGGAATAGGGTCAAATTAAAAGTAATTATTTCCCCCAAAATGTCACTGAAAAGCAGATTTCTTTTCAAAATTTCCGAATTTGGGGAAATGGAGCAAAGGGGGGAAGGGGAAATGAAGGTGGCTACAGGTGTACAATAGGCTTTATGTGGCTCCTGAGGGTTACAGAAGCTCTCCAAGTATCCTGGACCTGTCCTTGTGCCCAAAAAACTGGCCCCACATTAGCCTCTCCCTATCCCTCTCTCTCTATCCATCCCTCTCTCTCTCTCTCTCAATCCATCCCTCTCTCTCTCTCTCTCACTCCATCCCTCTCTCTCTCTCTCT